AATGCCTCTCAAGAAATTCTCCCACTGTCCAGCAGACAACAGGGAWTTTAAGTTTATCCATAGCCATATCACCCTTCCTCCTATTGCCCTGAAACCCAGAAACCAAAACCCACAGCTGAGAGCCCTCATGGAKGGTGCATCCATYRATTCCATGACCTGAATTAAGGCAAAGCACCAAAAAGACCCAAACTCAGGAATTAAGGGAAGAAGACTGAATTAAACACATTTGAATATTCTCGGGCAACACTAAGAAAACCCCCTTTTCCCTTGCCATGAMGAAGCCCTGAATTGTGTGGGATGGGACTYGTTTAATCCACACCATGCAAGCCMCAAGCCCCTTTCCCGCAGGGAGCGCCCGAAAGCTGGAGCTGCGGATCCGCCTGTTCTGCCGGGCTGTACTGCTCRCACCCTGGCACCACCGCAGCGACTCTGCCTTCTGGCTCACGCGCATTCTCAAGCCCTGGCCCAYGGTCAACCAGGCCCGTCTGCTCTACATCATCTTTGGTCCCGTGTCCTCCCTCGATGGTGAGCCCTGCAGTGTGGGGTCAGAGTGTGGGACCTGGGAAGGGGATTTTCCTGTGGGAAACTCCAAAAAATGTGATTGTGTTGCAATTGTGGAATCATGGAATGGGTTAGGTTGGAAGACACCTTAAAGGCCATCTGTTCCCACCCCTACCATGGGACACTTTCCCCTATCCCAGGTTGCTCCAAGCCCTGTCCAACCTGACCTGAGATGCTTCACTGATGGGGCAGCCACAGCTGAAATCCATTCCAGCTGCTCCCCACCCACACAGGCAGGAATTTCTTCCCAGAAAAAAACTGTTCTTTCTGTTCAACCAGATATCACTAACATACATACATACATTTATGGATGTATGTTACTATGGATATGGCCCTAATACATACATACATACATACATACCTAATACATACATACATACATACATACACACATATATAAATTACGATTCAAGGGAAGGAATTGCATAACACTTCTCTTCATCTGTTGTTCCCCTGATTGGGGTAGACTTAAATCCATCTCAAAGAAGCCCCCATTTCCCTGAAAGAAAATACATTTCCTCACTTAATTATTAACCCTGCGTTTCTTCCACTTTGACTCACGCTGCAACTYCCACTCTCCCTGCCACAACAACARGTGGAAAATAATCCTACAACCAGAGCTGTGTTACCCAAATTCCCCTCCTCTGCCTCTGCTGTGAGGCTCAGTTTAGCAGCTTCCTTGTTTAACAAAAATGTCWCTWAATAGAAGTTGTGATTGATACATTGMTCAGGACACGTGGTGTGGCAGAAAATGATAGAAGGACCAACAGACGAGAGCAATCTGAAAGGTTTAGCTGATGCAATTAAGCTGCTGTATGGTACAGAAGCTAGAGAATGGACAGCAGATGATGTTATCAGTCTGGTGGATGAGCTGTCAGGTGTGTTTTTGCCTTTATCCTTAATCCAAGGGATTATCAATCTTCACTGCCTCCAAATCCAGCTGGAAGTGTGTCCCAGACACCTGGGTGCTGCAAAATTCCTCAGAATAGATGAGACTTGATTGGAAAAGTCATCACATTGGGAAGCCAGGCTGGGTTGAGAAAAATATGGTGTCACTCACAGATCCAAGCTCTTTCCCCATTGAGGAATGCTTTAACGATCCGTGCAGACCTTTAAAACTCAAATCTTGCCTTAAATTATTAAGGAAATGTTATCCAACTGTGGGGTTTGTTCTGGCAAAGTTCTCCTGTACGACATTRCCAGCCACACTGAGGGTTTTGGGTGAGGTTGTGTCGTGGGGATGATTTGTGCCATTTCACTACTCCTCTTTTTGTTCAGAGGCAACTGAAATCTTTCTTCTCTTCCATGACAAAGTCGTTCCCCAGGAATGGCTGATGGAGAACAAYGCCCGGCTCCTCCTCCTGAGTGGGAGCAGCATCTGCTTCACTTTCATGGCCAGCAAAGCTGTGAATGGCAGGGCTGTGGAGCTGGCCAGGCTCGTGGTCTTCATGGCGTTGGTGAGTACAACTCAGCAGAACCTCTKTGCCCCAAATTCACTGTCTCAGACTGGAAAATTTTCCCCAGACGCTCCCACACACACCAGGAATAACCCCAGCCAGAACCTGGGTGCCCTTCCACCYCTCCACTCCCCATCTACCACATCCCGGGAAGCTGGCAAGCCTTGAGGAGAAGCACCAGCRGCAAAATGGTGCCTCAGAAATCCCTTTGTGCCAGGAAGACCAACCTCTGTAACCTTGTCACAAGCCCTGATATTCCAGGCCGTGGCACAGAAYCAACAGTGAATGCTAAAATGTTCTCTTGAATCATGAAAGGTGTGTTTTGAATCCTCCCTTTGCCATCCAGGTGTGTGAGAAGGACCTATACTGCATGGACTGGGCAGTGAATATGATGCAGAAGGTCTGTGAGGTTTTCACCACTCCCTGGGAGAGGAACAACTTCCTGCASTGCCTGGAGAACACCTTTGCTCACATGTTGATGGACATGCTGCAGGCGGTGCTGGCCGGTAAGGCTCAGCCCATGGGGACCAGCTCCTGGGGCAGCTGTGGAGCTGACCAAGGCATCCAGGAGCCGCCTGGCCTTCCTCTCCTCACCAGGCAGGGCAGTCCCAGAGAGACTGAGGGGTTTGATAACATAAATTCATAAAATCCAGAATGGTTTATGTGGGAAAAACATCCCACAATGGTTTGGGTGGGAAGGGACCTTATAGCCCATCCAGTGCCACCTCATGCCATGGGCAGAGACACCTTCAACTCTCCCAGGCTGTCCAAGCCCTGTCCAACCTGGCCCTGGACACTTCCAGGAATCCAGGGGCAGCCACAGCTTCTCTGGGCAACAAAAACAACCCATCAAGTTTCAAAATTGGGAAGAAATATTTATTTTACATTACTTCTTTTGCTAAGGGTTCGCTGGTGAATCCAACATTGTTTTAAAACCCCTCCCACTGGAAAGCCGGGCCCAAGGTCCCTTTGGACKGAGCCTAAACCTGCATTAGCTGTGATTGCTGCCTGTCCTCAGTCCTGCTAGAGCCTCACGATTGGTGGTGGTGCTGAGCTGGAAGGAGGAACACCCTGCTCAGTCARGACACATCCTTGTTCTGGCACAAGAACAATTGTTCTTGTCTGTCCCTGGACAGGCTCGAGAAGTAATTTGGGAGAGATCCTGCTGTGTTCCATCCCCGCTGTGCTGCCACCAGGGGCAGGGTCTGGGCATAAATCACAGCACAAAGCCCAGGCTGCTGCTTCMCTCTGCTGAGAGCTCTGTCTGAGGAAGATTGACTTCCAGAGATGAATGGGATAYAGACTCCAGTTTCACCCCTCATTTTCCATGGTTTCTGTGCCCTGGCAGGGGAGCATCATGAGGAGGACGGCAGCTTCCTGAACCTGTTCCACCTTGTGAACGCTCAGGCCAACTTCCACAAGGAAATCCTCTACATGGCCATGGGAAACAGCAACAGCACTACCTGAGTGTCATAGACTCCTCCTCAATTCCTGCTGCATTTCTCTTTCTTTTCCATTGGCAAAGAAATGTCCGATTATTTCTTAAATTCCCATTCCAGTGAGAGCTGGAGTGGCAGAAGTTGAAACCATCCCTGTCAGTCCAGCAGAACGAGCCCATGGAGGTTTTGGGTGCCCCACGGCAGAATTCCATTCCATTCTCCAAGGAAAAGGGCTGGGGCCTCCCTGTTGGGAACACAAACTGCATTATTTTCCCACTGTGCATGTTTGCAAACACAATAAAACYGGCATGGTTTCCAACTCAAGCTGATGTTATCTTAGCTCAGAACCCAAAACAATTTGATCCCTTAAACTTGTTTTCCCTTGGAAATTGGAGGAGAAAGGGAGGGATGGGATTTGAGGAACACAGCTGTGTTTTTCCAGCTTGCCAGGGTGTCTGACTCAGAGTCAGTGACAGAAATGCTCTGTAGTTTATACATTCCACTGTAGCAAAAGGTGAATTTCTGAAAGCAATTCCAATGCTTTGACCAGGCAAAGCATTTTTTCCTCTCAATCTCCAAGTTTTTATAAAGCAGAAGAAATTTCAACTCCCTCCCCCTACTCCAGGTAACAACTGCTGAAGTGTTTTAGGATTTAACCAAGTCGAAGACACCTACTACATACATTAAATGAGAACACTGGTTCATAAAATGGATAAAAGTTTGCTCCTTAGGCAAGGATTTTCTGCTCTGTTGCCTTCCAGACAGACCCATGTGATGGCAATAAAAGGCACCTTCTGTGTGCTCTTTGCAGCACAGCTCTTTCCTCTGGGTTATTAAAGAGCTGCTTTTCCCACCCGAAAAAACCCTCCCAAACCTTTCAGGCTTCCTTCAGCACCAGCTTTTCCCACATTTAGTTTGGAAGTGTCAGAACAGCTGAAGCGGTACCGCTGCTCCCACCTGCACCCATCAGCGACGACCTGGAAGCCTCTCGGGAATTGCTTTGAAGTTTGGTGTGCTAATAATCGCTTGTGGAATACGCAATTCCAGGCAGGATTTGCCTCCGAGACATCCATTGGCGGAGGATTCTTGCAGGTGCCGGTAGGTGATAGAGGTGAAACTTCCCTTGAGCGCAGCAGGCGCTGGAAAATGCGGGAAAGATGCCTTTTTYCCCCTGGCTGTTTGAAGGTGATATTTAAGGGAGCTGCAACGCMGCGGTTGTGCCGTGCGTGATTTCTGACGGGAGAGAAATCCCAGGCTCTGATTTCTGCTCAGGGAACCGAAGTGTCCGGACCGATCCTAAACGAACCCGGAATATGAGGAGAAAACATCCTTGGAGTGAGGACAGTGGAGGGAAAATGCTGCCAATGAGCCGCCGGGGCTGAATGCTCCAGCCCGCGTCCTTATGTCTCCCTTTTATCCTCAGGAGTCTCTCCCGATGAATAATCCCGGCAGATAGAAGGGGGAGAAKGGAGCGGAGCCCGGCCCTTTGTGTGTCCCTGTCCCGCCGTCTCCTGCCGCCAGCGCCGGGTCATTTCCGTCCCCGGGGCCGCGGCGGCCGCGAATTCCAGCTCGGCACAAGGGATGCCATTGTGAGAGCGCGGCCGCTAGCGAAGAGGGAGCGCTTTGATTCCCTGTCGGCGCCGGCGGGGCTGGAATGTCAGCGCGGAACAGCGCTGCCGAGCGGCGTCTCCCCGTCAGTTACTGATGGCTTTGTCAATTGTCATTAACTGCTACGGCTCTGGCGCTCACAGCGGCTCAGGGAATGCTTGGTGACGGTTTTTGACACATTTCCATCGAACAGGATTTTCCTTCCCGAAGGATCGAAGCCCAATCCTGCCCATGGTTCTTCCCTGTCCAGTCTAGGATGAACTGGAAAGTGGCACCGATCCTTTTCCAATCTTCCCCCTCACGTCAGCTCTCACGAACGCTGAGTAGGATGCACGTCCAGAGGAGTCGGGATGGGGATACTTGAGAAAACTGGGATTTTCCTTCTGCAGCCAAATTTTAACTGCCGGAACTGTGGTTTCAAAGCCCTTTTCCCACCCCTCTTCACCTTCCAGCATGGAGATCACAGGTCTGATGCCTGCAGGAAGGGATGGTTCTGCAGAACTGGAGACTCTGTAAGGCCCGGGAGCCAGAGAAAAGGATCACTCCTGGTTTCACACTCAGCTGAGTTTCCATTCCACACATTCTTCCTCACTACCTCTTCCCTCAGCCCTGCAGATGTTGGCTCCACGCACCGCCTCAGGAGGAAAGGTCACTTAGAACATGACTTATGCCTGCAGAAATTCCTCACAGAATATTTCAGGCTTCTGATTCCCGGCTATATTTGGCGGTGGAGTGAGGGATTGATGTTTCCTCACCTCTGTGGCTCAGCCATGGGAATTGCCCTGGGCAGCGCCAGGAACATGCTTGGGATGAAATCCCCAGCTCCAACTTCTCTCAGGAATTTTACCGACAGGAAATTGCAGTATCAAGCATTCAACTGGCAGCAGTGACAACATCCAGCATTCCCAGGCTCTGGAAAACCCTCTTATACTCCTTGAAAGTCACACCATCCTATTCCAGCATTTCCTGGCCTCCTGAATCCTGTTCTTACACACACTTGTGTGGTGGCTCCAYGGATAACTAAAGGGGCACAAACTTGTCCTATTATGGGTATTTCAGGTGTTTGTCACTTAAAAGAAAATATAACCCGGGGAGACACCAGGAATATGAACATTTTTCCTTTTACGAGGCTGAAATTTTCAGTCATTGCCCRTGATTGGCAGTATGAGGGCAAGGATTGTTGCAGGGCTTCAGAAAAGGAAAAATTCTACTGATGCCCCAAATCCCTCCCCAGGCCTCTCCAAATTGGGGGGAAAATGAATCTCTGGAATGTCCTTTCCATCCCACAGAAATTTCCATCGTGTTGAAAATGTTCCTATCCAAGACCCCCGGGAGCTTCCCAAAACATCAGAGAGGGACTCGAGTGAGGGGTCGCCAAAGCACAGACACTTGGGGACCCTTGAAATKGAGGAGAGGCTGGTGGGGACCCCACCATGCTTGGAGCAGGGACGCCCCCCCCCCCCATCCCCAAAGACTGCTGCTTGTGCTGGGGGACACAGAGGTGCCTGAGCCTGGATTTCCAATCTCTCACCATTCCGGGATGCCCCAGATCCCTCTGCACTCATGGAATTTTCCCCTGGAGACGCATGTCCCTATCCCCATCTCTGCAGGGGATGCACTGACACTAGCAGCCATGTTCTCTCCCCCATGTCATTCCTCTTTATTCCACTCCMTGAACAGGTTTCATTAAAGACAGAGGATATTTTCCAAAATCAAATCCAGATGACCGAYCTAGCATGCACTCACACCAAGGAGACACAACATGCAGAGGGACAGGACCCTCTACATCCCCCTGAGGACACCACAGGAGTCACCAGGAGTATCCGAGGTTCCGACGCTGGAAGGATACAGGTCCCGTCAGCAGGAAGGACACAGATCTTGACAGCAGGAATAACCCCGGTCCTGGCAGCGGGACAGCCCCCCGGAGCCCCCTCCCATGTCCCCCCATTCCCATCCCCAGCCCTGCTGGCTCCGTGACTGCTCCGTGCTCCGCACTGGGCTCTCAGAGGTTAATGCTGTTCCAGAAGGCTCCGAGGGATGCACACCAGACAGAAGCTGTGGCAGAGAAAGGAGAGGCTGTGAAAGAGAAAGAGAAATGACAGGCTGATGTGAGCCGGGCCCAGAGCCACGGGGATGGAGCAGCTCCATGCAGGAGCAGCCCCACCTTGCTCTGGGACCCCCCCTTTGGCTCCTCAGGAATGATGCAGCCGGGAACCCGTCTGGCTTCTCCCTGTGAAGCTGTTCCGTTTCTCTCCCTCKCTGGAACAAAAGCCTGCAACTCGAGCTGCAAAGAGCGGCTTTTCCAGGAGTGATGATAAATCCGGCAGGGAGAACCCGGCAGCTGCACCACGGCCAAGGCTGAGGGGCCTGGTCTGTAAAATCACGCCCGGTGCCCTTCTTCCAGCCCAGGCAGCCAAAACCAACAGCACTGACTGCACAACCGCCCCCTGACCCCCTGCACATTCCCTCCCAGAAATTCCCACCYGGAGGGGTGAGGAGCTCACCTGGCCGACGCTTGGCTGGCAAGGCCGCTCGGAGTCGCATCTTTGCCAGCACCTCTCTAGAGCATGTAAATGATGTAGGACAGGATCACCAGGCCAATGATGGCAAAAAACATCAGGATGAAAATATCCAGCATGGTGAGGGAAGGAGGGAGGAGGAAGCGGCGGGGCAGGGGCTGCCGGGGAGGGGCTGCGGGGCTCCAGACACTGCTCCGGGCAGGGCCTGTGGGCAGCGCTGCTGCTGGGCAGAGCCGCCGCTGCGTCCTCCCCTCCCCTCCCCTCCCGAGCACGGCTCGCTCGGCTCAGGATTGAGAGACGATGCCGGAGCTGATGGAGCCGCTTCCCAGCCTGCGGGACCAAGACAAAGGGAGAAACACAGGCGGGCAGCCGGGGCTCAGCCCGGCCCCGGGAGCTCAGCGCAGCCCTGGGGGCCCGGGGCCGTCTCTCCCTGCGGGGGGATGTTCTATCCCTGCTCCAGCTCCTTCCTTCCTTCTCAAAGCGCTCCYCAGGGCAGGGGGTGCTCACGGGGGTGTGTCCCCTGCCCCTGCAGCCGGGAATGGGCCCATCCTTTGAAGAAAGGAGGGAAAATGAGCCTTGGCCGTGGAAAAGGCACACCAGGATCACTCTGACCTCACCTTCCCTGGTGCACCACCCTTTGCTGCCTTCTGTGTCAGGTACGGAGCTGCTGGTTTTTTGGTTTTTTTTTTTTTAACTGGAGATGTTGATAAAAAACATCCTGCCCTACACATCTGCCAGACTTCCCTCCCCCCCCCCCCCCCCTTATTTAAAACGCTGCTGAAAATCCTACTTGCAGAGGCTGAATTCCCAGGGCTCCATAGAAACCAGCAATAGCCTCTTGGCTGCAGTGGGGCTCCAAAACACGTTCTGGAGCTTTCTGGCCGTGCCAAAAGGAAGCCACATCCCAGGAGGATCCCAGTGTGTCCCAGTCTCAGGGGAGCCAGGCAAGATGAAAATCCCAGCTCTGGCAGCCTCCCCTTGTCTTGAGGAAGCTGGAAAGGTGGCAACAATCAAAGACAGCACAATCAGCAGGTAAAAATTAAACTTTTATTTTCAATCCATGTAAACAGGGAGGAGAATCGGTAGGGTTGTTCCATTCCRTGGGKTTTTTTTGGGGGGGGGATTAAAAGGCCAAATAACATTTTTTGTTGTTGTTCATTGGTGGGTGCTCGGCCCAGGAAGGAGGACATGAGGACAGAAAACCCCAATCAAGCAATGGATCCCGAAGAAAACATGTTCTAAGCTTGGCACTGAGACRCAACCAGGGAAGCTGGGATGGACGAGGTCTATTTTACACGTGATGCGAAACAATTCAGCTTTTCATTTTTCTTCCTTTTTTTTTTCCTTTTTCATTTTTTTAAACGCATTTATTTATTTATTTTAAATACAGGTTTAGGTGCTTTTCAGCTATGAAAAAAAAGCAAAAAAGTGCATAAGTTGAGAAAAAAGGCAGAAATCAAGCAGTAAGAGGTTTGTTTCTTATGGCAGGAGGCATGAGAGGGGAGAATTTAGAGACAACGGTTTTGAGAGAGGATTTAAAAAAGGTCTATATACCAAAATGGAATTATTTCATTATTTGGTCCATTAAAAAAAGGGTTTATTCACATTGATGCTCCCCCCATTCCCGTGAAGAATGTGATTAGAGGATTCTGCAGGGAGAGGTGGATCCCACCCTGCCCAACCACCCTGTCCTTGCCCTTGTGCTCCCTGTTTTAGCACCAGCCGGGATTCCCACCCCAGCCATCCCTCCTGGCCTCTCACCRGGATCCCCATCCCTCTGCCCTCATCCCACTGCAGCCAGAATTCCCTTTTCCCACTGGGTCTCTGCCCTGCCTGGACCCACCTTCCCRCTGCCCTTGATCCCACACGCCCAATCCCAGTGCCCAGTGTCCTGAGGAAGGGAGGTGTCTGCAGGGACTGCCCCAAACAGAACCAGGAAATGTCTCAACTCAGCCACCTTTGGTCCCAGTATTCCCGCTTTTCCTTTGYGAATAGCAAAGGCAGCACTTTCCCTCCATGAGCATCCTCTCCCCACAGGGCAGCCTGGTGAGGGTACATCACCCCTGTCCCAAGGTCCTGCTCCTGTGACCCTGCAGAGATTTCCATCCCTCCCTCCCTGCTCAGTTCCAGTTATTCCCCYGACCCTGACCTGCTCTGAGACCCCAGAGGAGAAGGGTACAGGGATGTGCTTTGAGGTTTTGGTCCATGACATGATCCCAGTGGTCCCAAAAGCTGCCACCAGTGCTGGAAGTGAGCGGGGCAGGGCAGCCCAGGGTGTCAGCCATGCCAGGGCCTGGTGCCTGACAGGACAAATCACCCAAAGCCCCCGGGAGGATCCCAGGGTGGTGGCACAGGGGGGTTCCTCCACACCCGGTCCAGTGGAGCCACAGGGATGGAGCTGATCCTGAGGGCTCCCCACACCCTCCCCCAGTGGGTGGGTGGCTCASGAAGGTCCCAAAAACTCGGCAGCGGCAGGAGAAAAGCAGGAAAATCCTGTGTGAGAGGGAGAGGCTTCCCCAGGGGACCCCCAGACCCTGGTCCAGAGGGAGCTGGAGATGCAGAGGGGATTCATCCCTGCTCCAGGGGGGTTCATCCCTGCTCCAGGGAGCTCATCCTGGCTCCAGCCCTCGACCCAGAGCAGCAGCTCCCAGGAAAAGCCCCACGGCTGCTCCATTGCCAGACGGATTGGCACAACCAAAGCCCCAGGCAGGAGCAGCCAAAGCCTCCTCCAGGGCTCACCAGAGCTTGGAATGCCAAGGAGAGAGGTTTTGTCTGAGATTGTAGCTGGCAATGTTTTCCTGCTTTGAAGGGAGCAAAGATTGAATGGGAACTGCGCGGGAAAAGCCGGAAGAAGCCACGGGATGATCCGGAGCTGGAGCCGGCAGAAGCCACAGGACGAGCCGGAGGCGGAGCGGGGCAGGGGGAGGCTCCCAGCCCCTCCCCTTCCCTCCCCTCCCCCACACCGCCCCCAACCCTGCCAGGCCGGGTGGATTTTGTCTCGACGTGGCCTCTCCCTCCCTCCCTCTCTTTTGGCCGGGATCCCGGCGGCAGAGCCAAGGAACAGGAAAACCGCGGCGCTTTGACCCCAGTCCTGCGCGGCCCCTCGGTCCCCACGGGGCTACCACGGAGCAGAAGTGGGGAGAGAAAGCGGGGGCGGCTGCGGACACGGGCGGGAACCGGGACGCCGGGGCGCGGCTCCGACGCCGGAGAGGCGGGGAGGGGACGGGAGGCGCGCGCACGGGGCGGGGTCGCGCGCACGGGCGGGGCTCGGCCCCGGGGCTCAGATGGCCTCCACGTAGTTGGCCGGGAGCATGCCCGTGTCCCCGGTGCGCTCCACCGTGCCGTACATCCAGCCGTCGTCAATCTGCTGCACGTTGACGATGGTATCCCCGTCCTGGAACGACACCTCGTCCTCGTCTGCTGCGTTGTAGTCATAGACAGCGCGGAAACGCTTCTGTGGGGACACAGAGGGGTCATGGTACGGTCCCCGGGSACACAGAGGGGCCACTGGCATTGCTCTGGGGAAAGGCGGGTGGAAAGTGAGGGAATCTGGTGCTGGCCTGTACTCACCCCTGCTCCAGCCGGGACGTTGCGTTGTGTGGAGGCTGGAGCCGCCGGCTCCTTGTAGCCGTAGGATTGGGACGAAAGCGGCTGCTGCTGGTAAACTGCRGAGAGAAGGGTGGATCCATGAACTGGGAAGAGGGGATCCATCTCACTGGAAGAGGGGATCCATCACACTGGGATTTGGGAATGTACCAAAGTCCCTTCCAAGTCAGCAGCAGCTCCCCAGCTCACCTGGCACACAGGGCTGCCCGTGGTGCAGGGGCTGCTGCTGCTGCTCTGCCGCTCTCCGGTAGTTGCTGCTCTCCTGGGAATTGCGGCGCTCTGGCTCGGAGCCMTCACTCGGAACGGGGCCCATCCGGCTCCGCTCAAACTCCTCGTGGTACTTTATCTGCAGCAAGAGGTCAGAACTCATCTCTGGAGCAGCTTCCCTCAGGGAAAAATGGATGAGACCAGGAAACAGCCTCCGGGGAGGTTTGGATGGGAATTAAGGGAAAATTCCTTCACAGGGAGAGGGGGTCAGGGATGCCCAACCCTGGAAGTGTTAAAAACCCATAATGGGGACATGGCTTGGTGGTGACAGCAGTGCTCAGTTGATGGTTAGACTCGGTGACTTTTCCAGTCTAAAGGATTCCAAGATCCTTCACCTCTTTCCAGGGCTTTTTGCCTCCAAGGGCTTGGCATCGGTTCCTCCAGGAATCCTGGGGGGCTTCTCCAGGACCCCCACCCCCCAGACCAGGGGACACCTGCTCCAAGCAGTTTGGGGCATGGGAAAGACGAGTTTTAGTGCCTGCTGGGCTGGAGAGGGGACTCTTTTGGTATGAGATCCAGCCCCAGATTCACCTCCTGAGCCACGGGAACACAGAGCAATATCCCCCTTTGGGAATCCCCCCTGAGCTCCCCCCAATGCCAGGGGACAGAGGGGGCAGGAAGGAAGGGTTATCCCTACCACCGGGGCACCAGGGTGAAAATTAACCCCTTGTTAATGAATTCATTTATCCCGTTGATGAAAGAACTCCCAGCTGTTAATGAGTGCATTCCCACCAGGAAGCACCGGGAGCCTGGGAATGCTGCCTGGTGAAACAGGGATTGACTAAGGGCACAGCCTGGAGTAAGGAGAACCCYGAGGGCAGAACCCCTACCTGGGTTACAGTGGGGACCCCCAGGAGGCCAGGAACAGCTTCAGGATCAGCCTTAGGATCAGGGAACAGCCTCGGGTCAACCCCCAGGTTGTTTCCAGCTCCGTTCCCAGCAGGATTTCCCCACCCGCCCCCAGCACCGAGGATGTTTTGGGGCACAGCCGGGCTGGCCTCACCTTCCCTGCCCCGTTCTTGGCCCTGGAATGGGAACGTYGGCCCAGAGGCGGGTGCTCTGCAGGGCCAGGGGTGGGTTCTGTGTCTCTCCTAAGTGGGTCACGGCCACCCCTAGCTGGCAGGCAGACAACAGGAATGTGCCAGGAAGGGCTGGGAGAGAGAGGGGCCAGGCAGAGCATTTGATGTCCCCATACCCCCCAGATCCTCCCCAAACTGTCCCCAGATACTCCCCAAACCCCTCCGGATGCTGAGCATCCCTGTGATGCCTGTTCATCCCTGAGCTGCATMCCTGTGCATCCCTGTACATCCCTGAGCAKCCTCCTGCTTCTCCATGGCAACGCTCTGGCCTCCACGAGACATCACCACACAAAGCAGGCAGAGAGCAAGAGAGGGACAGAGACCCTCGGGGCCCAGTAAACATCAACCAAGTGCTGCTGTGCGGGTATTGGGATCGGTGCAGGGATGGGGATCCCTCCAGTTCAGGATATTCCATGGATCCAAGAGCTGCCCACATTGGGGTTTTTGGTGCCCCTGGTCCACATCTGTCCCTGGTCCACATCTGTCCCCACCAAATGCCATGTTCTGCTCCCTCCTCCCTTGCCACAGTCACCCAGGATACCCGGAAATGGAGGAGCCAGGAGAGGAGCAGGAGATGCTGATGCAAACAGGCTGGAGGATTATTCCTGCCAGAATTCCAGGATTCTGTGATTCGGGACTGTTTGCCAGCACCTCTTCCAGCCTGCTCCCCTCCCTGACTCCTCCCTGGCCCTGGAGAAGTCACGGCGGGGATGAGAAGCCACTCACGTTGCTGATCTGATCCTGGGTCTTTTTGATCCTCTGCAGCTCCGGGGTATCGGCCACCACACTGAAACCCTTGCCCTTGTTTTTCTCAAACTCCTCCTTGTAGCGGAYCTGGGCACATGGAAGGAAAACCAGATATGAACCCTGGGAAAAGCAGGAGAGCGCAGGACCGGATCCAGCAGTGGCCCCGCACTGTGAAGGGCTTCACCAGAGCTTGGCCTCACTCAGGAGCCCTCCAGGGCACCCGGGGATGGTAAAAACCTCTGGTCTTGGGTTTTCCAGGAGCTCCAGCGCCCAAACACCTTCCCATGCCTGCAGATCCCATTCCTCTTTCAGCAGGAGTTGGGGGTTTGATTTCAGGTTCCTGTGGGGCACCAGCCCTGGTCACCAACCAGGGAGTAGCCGCTTCAGAGGGACCTGTGCCTCTCCAAGGGCATTCCCAGCCAGGGACCTTCAGCCACCTCTGGGAGGGAAAACACCCAGTACAAAACCAGGGGCTGGAGGATGACAAAACACGGCCATCCCTAGTCCTGTCTGCCCAGCCCTGCCATCAGTGYTGCTTCCCATAACACCTGGGAACTGCAAAGCCCCTTTTTCCTTTGCTTTTTGCCTTTTTGAACAGTTTTGAGATCAGTGTGTGTAGCTSTGCACAGAGGGACACAGAGAGCCCAGGCCCAGGTGTGCTCCTGTCCAGATGTCCTCCTGGTCCAGATGTGCTCCACGGCCCAGATGCTGCAAGCCCTGAGCCCTGCAGGACTCTGCTCCAAAGCTCAAACCCARCCGTGGTCATGACAGCTCCCACGAGGAAGAGAACCCAACCCAAACTGGGGACACCAAACCAGTGACACAAACCAGTGACACGAAACCAACAACAAAAAAATCGGTGACACCAAACCAATCACACACAGAGCTGCTGAGCTGGGAGAATTCCAGGCTGGAAAAACAAGGATTCACCAAGTGAGAAGCCAATCCCGGGCAGTTCCTCTGATAAATCCTATAATTTCATTCCCCTAAATCCCACCTTCCTTGGTTTTTCACCCCTCAGATGTTCAGGACAAAGGAATTCAGCCCTAAAAAGCCACCTGGCAGCCTCCCGATGATGATGATGGTAAAAATTAAACAATGAAAATAATTAATCAGTGCCCCACAATTAATTTTCCCAGGGAACCACTCCCTCTGCAGCAGGAAGGAGCCACGGCATGCGCATCCATGCATTATCCAAAGGGAGCCAGAGAAAACCCTTCACACATCATGGCACAGGSACATCAAACCCTCCCCAAGCTGTCACTGGCACAAGGCGACAGTGGCACAGGAGGGACAGGGGTGGCAGCTGCAGGAAGGTCCGTGCCCGAATTCTGCCCAGGAAAGCCTCAGAAAAGGAGCCCAAGGGCGGGAACCTGCAATTTCCCTGCCAGGCGTGGGCTGGGAAGAGCAGCATGTGACCACTGGGGCTGTCACCATGGGGACAATTTTAGCCACACAGGACTCATTATCCAGAGATTTTGGGGACCGGAATGGGAGCTGCCTCCACGGGAACACAAATAGACGGGACAGAGGAGGGACACGGAACTGCTGTGGCCGGGCGTGGCCCTGGCACTGTGTCCCTGTCACCCATCCCTGCAGGTGCCCAGTGTCCCATCCCTGCCATCCCATCCCATCCCTGTCAGTCCATCCCTGCCACCCCATCCCAGAATGTCTGGAGCTTGAGACCATTTCCTCCCATCCTGTTAACTTGGGGAAAAGCTGACCTCCTCTGGCTCCTGTCAGGGAATTTTAAGGAATGAGCAGGTCTTCCCTGAGCCCCTCTCCCAGCTCCCACCAGGCAGGGTGTCCTCCCTGCAATGTGCATTCTTGTCATAACCCCACACTTTCTGCCGTTCTCCTGCAAAACCAACACTTGCATTCCCACTTCCACAGTTCTGAATCCGGAAAAAGGATAAACGGGCCTGGGAGAGGCAGATTCCCCACTCCGGGAGGTCACAGCAGCMAGGAGGGACCCACATCCCAAATCTGCAGCCCAAATCTTCATCCAAAACATGCCTCTCCCTTCCCTGTGGGAGSGATTTGGGAAGCACCAAAGCATCAGGGGAATTGTCAGGGCTGGAAGGGCACTCCCTGGAGATCCCCCTGCCCAAGGTTAATCCAGGAAACTCCAAAAGTCAGACACGCATGGAACTCACAAAACATGGAACCCTCAAACAAAAACACAATGGGAAAAGGTCCGGGGCAGCGGGGTGGGTGTTCCCCATGGGAACTGGGGAATGGGAGTGGCTCAGGGGGGTTTCCCGTGGGAATTTGGGGCTCACCTGGCTCTGGAGCTCGCTCTGCTGCTTCAGGCGCAGGTTCTCAGGTGTGTCGGCCACCATGGTGAAGGATTGCTTCGGGTAGTGTCTGTGGGGGAGGGACACATCAATGACACTATCCTCAGTGGGGGGGACACAATGATGCCACTGTCCCCTGCCCGAGGGGAGGACACATTAACTGCACCAGGACACCCAGGACAGGGAACAGGGGAGAACAGGGGACAGGAAGCTGGGGAGAAACCCAGGGAGAATTTTRGGAGAAAGGAAATACCCAGAACTCCAGCTGGAGGCTGCTCACAGCCCTGTCCAAACTTCCTGAGGCCATTCCCACCTCCAGGAGATGTGGAAAAGAGCACAAGGAGAATCCCTGTATAACAGGGAGTGTTCGGCAGGGAAATGCCCAGCCYTGATCCCAGAGAGCTGCAGGGTTTGGGGTCTCTCAGCTGCCAGGAAGGGGAAAGTCAGTCGCCACCAAAGATTTCCCGCTGAGATTTCCCCCAGCCCATGGCTGCTGCACAGAAATTCTTGTGGTAAAAACCCCTAACAAGGATAAAATTGGATTTTCTGGGAGGGTCCGGAGCTTGCCAGGAGGTTCAGGATGCCAGGAGGACGCTGCAGGGGATACAAGAGAACAGCCTCAGGTTGTGCAAGGGGACGTTTAGGTGGGATTTCTGATTCCCTGGAAGGGCGGGCAGRCACTGGAACAGCAAAGTGGCGAAATAAATCCCTGGAAGTGCCCAGAAATACATGGGGGCAGCTGGGTCCTGCATCCCAGAGGATGCTCCCACCGGATCTGGCCCTGCAGCTGAACTGGGAGCAAGAGGAGCCTTTCCAGCATGGTTGCCACAGAGCCCTTTGCACTCCAGAATTCCCAGTAAAAGCCTCGGCAGGAAACACGGCACACAGCAGATGCAGCTACGGACTGGCACAGCACGGCTGGGGCTGCAGCACAGAGGGGAGGGCACGGTGTGGAAAACACCTCTGGAAAAGAGTCATGGCTTTCCCTCTCACCCCCTTAAAGCAGGATTCCCAGACTGGGAATTGCTCCAAAATCTTCTGAACTGAGCATGGGGTTTTAGGGCAGGAAATCACCAGGGCAGGGGGTGAAAGGACAGCACCGGGCCCATCACCATCCCAGTCACTGAGTGTGGCACCATGGTTGGACTCTGATCTCGAAAGATTTTTCCAGGTGATTCCATGATTCCAGAGGATCCCAGCAAACACCAGAGGAGCAGGGAGCAAACACCAGCAGCAGCATTTTGTGCCCAACCCAAGCGCTGTGGGGAGCTGCTGGCGGAGCTGGGGTTGGATTAATTGGTGAATCTGTGAGAGAAGCCCTGTGGCTCCAGGGACAGCCCCAAGCCTGTCTCCTGCCCCACTTCCTGCTCTCAGCCATCCTAGAGCCCTTCCCAAGCTCCTGGGAAGCCACAGCCAAGGTCAGAGACAATAAAAAGTCACTTGGGGAGCACCGACAGCTCTATCCCTGAGCCTTGAGAAGGTGGGAATAGGACAAAGAGCTCCATCCCTGAGCCTTGGGAAGGTGGGACCGGGTGGRTTTTTAGGTCCCTCCCAACGCAAACCATTCCCAGGATTATGGGAGATCCCAAACCATGAATTCCCCACGGGCAGAGCAGGAAAGGTGCAGGATACACAGAGCATTCACAGCCCTGAGAGCCATCACCTCTGCCCTCTGCCCGGGGCTTTTCCAAATCCAGAGGGCTTTCCCAAATTGCTGAGGCTTTTTGCGGGTTTTTTTACAGGTATCTTACAGATATTCCTGACGCGAACGTCTCCCGGGGAAAGCCGGGCCAGCGCAGGGTGAAGGCTCGCTTGGAGCCGGCCCCGCTCAGGCGCAGCTCGGAGCTCCGGGACCGTCCCGTTGCCATGGCAACCGCATCGCTGCCCCGGGCGCGCTGATAACGCTCGGGAGGAGATCAGAACCCCGGCAGCCTCCTCCGGCGGCTGGGAGGAGGGAAGCGCCAGCCGCAGCCGGGGCTGGGAAGCACAGAAATCCATTCCTGTGGAGCTCGGAGAAGCTGGAAAGCCGTGGGAGGAGGAGGGGAGGAAAATAAAAATAACCTGGAAAAAACAACAACCAGCCTGGCTGGATTGGCAGCAACACCATGTCCTGCTACAGGCTGGCCAGGGAGAGGAGGAGACAGCCAAGAATGGAGCTGAAATTAGGATCCCCTTGGATTTTAGAAAATCTCCCAAGGATTTGAAGCTCCCATCCGCCCCACTTCCAACAGTGTGGGAATCACACATCCCATGCAGCCTCGGCAGTGCCTGTGTCAGTGCAGCTGAGGAAGTGCTCTCCAGGCAAAACTTCCCAGAATAAACAGGAATTCGGGGAATGAACGGTTCCCGTGGGATGCCTGAGCCACCCCCAGCTCCTGCTGCTGCGTGAGGCTGTGGCAGGATCTTGTTCGGGGTGTTTTCCCTGGCGCAGGGGGAAGCTGGATGGGATCCAGATTCCAGTGGGAGTTGGGATTCTTGGAGTTGGTGGCAGGAAGGGCTGTTGTGCCCAGGGTGGGCATGGGAAGCCCTAGCTGCTCCAGCACCAGCCAAACATGGATTATTCCAAAGATAGATGGAGATGAACTTGGAGATCTTGGAGTGGAGCCCACAGAGAGTTGGGTGGGCTTGGCTGGGGCACCTTGAGATCTGTCCTCACTGCTGGAATCCATCCATCCATCCATCCGTCCATCCGTCCATCCGTCCRTCCATCCATCCGTCCAACCGTCCTCTGCTTGACTGAAGCCTGCATACAGGATCTGTGCTGGGGATGGAGCAGGACAATCCCTCCCCAAGCTACAGCTCCACAGGATCCAAGGGGATTGCACCCCTTGGAAAAGCCACCTCTGAATCCAGCAGGAAAAGAGGAAACTGGGGGAGACTCTTCAGGGGCTGCAGCTCCAATGGCTGGGACAGAGACAGGACCCAGGGAATGCTGCAGCTGTGCCCGGGAAGGCTGGATTTTGGGAAAGCTTCTTCATCCAGAGGGTGCTGGGACAGTGGAAAAGGTTCCTCAGGGAATGGGTACGTCCCCAAGGCTGCCAGAACTCCAGGAGTGTTGGCACAATGCTTCCAAGGATGCACAGGATGRAATTTGGGGTGTCTGGGCAGGGCCAGGGGTGATCCTGAATGATCCCTGGGATCCKTCCAGCTCAGGATATTCTCTGATTTCACATGGAACAGTGCATGGAATGGCAGGGCCCACCCTGCTCAGCACCCATCCCCCAAACACACCCCCAAAACCCCTCGCTCTCAGCACACCCAGCGTGGCAGCATCTCCACAGCGGGAAGGGCCCCTTATCATCCCTGGAAATCCCACAGAATCCCAGCTCCTCCTCCYGGGAGAGAAGCCCCAGAGGCCACGGAGCCACCGAGCCAAGCCGAGGCTTTTGTGGCGCTGCGAAATCAGGTCAGCAGTGGCTCCCGCAGCCACAGATCCCGTCTGGCTCCTGCATTAGGAGCGGCTGAACACGGCAATTCCTGGGCCGATGAGAGAGCTGATCCGGCTGGGAGCAGCTCTGGGCTCCTGAGGGACAAGGATCCATCTGCTCCACAGATCCTCTGCGGCCCCATGGACACCCCGGCTTGTCTGGAAAGCCACAAGCAATTCCTGCAACTCCCCAGGCAGGGATCAGAGAGGAAACTTCTCGACGTGGGATGTTGGGAAGCACACGTGGATTCTCCTCCCCACACTGGCACTGGTTTCTGTGGGATCTGTAATTCCCACCTTCCCAGCCACAGAACAGGAAAGGGCCTTGGAGCAATCCCAGTTCCAGAATCTCCCAGCACTCACACCCCATCCCCTCCCAGTCCTGCCCTACAAGTGGCATTTCTCCCCCAAAAAACCTACCGTCTCAAGAAGCCATCACAAGAAGCCAAGCTCCCTTTGGAGCTTTTCCCAAGCTGGGAACAAGGCTGAATTCTCCTGGAACACACTCAAAAATCCCTGAAAGCACAGCCTGGCATGGTCCAGCTGCTCTCCAGCATCAACTGAGGTAATCGGAGAGCTCCAGCACCAGGCCCTGCCTCTCCAGCATGGCCCAGCACCAAGTCTGATCCCCAAGCAAGGCCAAAAATCCCCACGGATGACGGGTGAGCCAACAGGGCTTGAAAAAACCTCCAGAGCTCCAGGTGTTGCTTAACTGAGGCTTTAAACCATGGGGCTTTGGTAGATTGAGCCATCAAGGGGCAACCCTGAGTGGGAACAGCCTTTGTCCCTGCAGCTGGATCAGGGATGCAGGAGAGACTCAGGAGAGAGAAATTCGGAGGAGACACTCGGGAGACATCTGGGAAAGATTCGGGAGAGATTCAAGAAAGATTTGAGAAAGATTTGACAGACATTCAGGAAATATTCTGGAGAGATTCCAGAGAGAAGAGCTCAACAAATGAAGCAGTTGGCTGAGCTCTGCCAGGAGGCTCAGAGGTCACATCCTGCCTTTCCAAGAGCTCTTGGATTGCTGGCTCTGCACGGAAAAGGTGGGATTTTAACAGCCAGGGAGGGTTTGGGCATTATCAGGAAGGAGTTTGGGTCTGGGCATTATCAGGAAGGCATTATAAGGAGTTTGGCAGTGGCGACACCACTGAGTCAAAGGGRAGGAATCTCAGCCCCAAATCTGTATCCCCCGGCAACATTGCAGGACATTCTGGATGCAATTTTCCTGCCAGGGAAGCAGCTCCAAGAGGAAAAGCAGATGSCACTTTCAGGGAGCCAAGAAGGGGTTGGGGTGTGGGACGGACACCGGCCCCTGGGCCACAGTGCCATTCGCACACGCCGGCACCAGGAACCGGCCCCAAAGCTGCTCCCAGATTTACAGCTGGGGGAATGCCTGAGCTGGAGGAAGCCCAGCCCTCTTCCTCCCGCTCTCCTGGAGAAAGAAACTTGGGAATTTGGCGGGGAGCCACGGTTGGAATGAGTGGAGCCTGTGCCGGGGCACACTCAGAAAAGCAGGATTCCCTGCCAGGATAAACACTGCCTTTCCACCCCCTTCTTCAGGGGTGGAGGGCACTGTCCCTCCACTCCAATTCCAGAAAAAAAGGAAATTTGGGAAGGGTGGACTCCTCCCACTGTCTCTCCAACTCCAGCAAAAGCAAAATTCAGAAATTCAGAGCTCTCCCTGCCCCATATCCTCAGCCAGGCACATGTCACCCGGAGTTTCGGATTTCCCGGGATACTCCTGGGAGCAGCTGGCAGGGAACCGACCCCAAACCCAAGCCCGGAGCTTTTCCTTCTCCCCACATCCTGGCATTGATGCCCCATGGAAAATCCCGTGCTCCAGCTGCTCCCACTTCCCTCTGCCCTTCAGACAAGGAAAAATGGGAAGAACAAAGCATTTGGGGCCATTCCTGTGCTCAATCCCAGCCATCCCCAGGCACCCCGGGGCTGGGAAGGGTTAAAGTATCAAAGGCAGCCCTGGGAGAGGGGGGAGAGAAACTGAGATGGGTCGAGGCTGCACAGACTCCTTGGAATGTCAGGAATTTTCCATTATTATCCCGCTTCCCTTCCAGCAGCCTGCAGGGAGAGCGCAAGCAAAGGACCCCAAGTCCCACRGTCCATGGGGGAAAGATTTGGGATCAGGACCCTCCAGAGTGCTCGGGGATCTCAGMTCAGCCAGGCTGGACCCTCCCCCGTGGGGGGCTGAGGTCCCTGCACTACCCAAAACCCCAAATCCTCCATCTCACAGCCTACCTGCCTCAGGACACACATTTTCCCCTCACAGGATTCCAGAAATTCCCCCAAAAGGAATTTCTGGAGTTCCTTTCTTTTGAGGGGTTTTTCTCCACAAAAGCTCAAGCTCCAGTGATGCTGTCACCCCACAGAAAAAAAACCAATTTATTTCCAGCCACTAATTCGGTATTTTCCAACCCATTTGCACCCTGTGCTCTGGGTGAGATCCCAAAAAATGCCATTCCCTGCCAAAATGGGAATGCTGCCAGACTCCTCTCACTCTGGCAGAAATCATGGACTTCGGACGAGCCACAGTCACCACCAACACCCAACCTTCCACGCTCCCACAGAAGCCACAGAAGGGGCAGGGCTTGGCCAAGGTCTGCTCCTATCACTTCACTTTTCTGTGGAACTCACCAGGGAAAGCAAATTCAGATAAAATTTGGGATGTTGGGAAGAAATTCTGCCCTGTGAGGGCAGGAAGGCCCTGGTCCAGGTTAATCCACCCCTGGAAGTGACCAAGGCCGGGCTGGAGCACCCTGGGATAGTGGGAAGTGCTCCCATGGGATTGGATGAGAATTAAGGTCCCTTCCCACCCAAACCATCCTGGAATTCTGTGATTTCAACACCCATCCCACAGGGATGCAGCCATGATCAGCATTTTTAGGGGAAAGAGCACCCTGTTCCAGTGCTAGTCAGGTTAATTACATTAATTAAAATCTCTAATTTTCCTTCTAAGGACTGCCAGGTGCTTTTGGGATCTTAAGGAACATTTTGGGTCTGCAGAGCTTGAGATGAGCAGGGGAAAGGGAGCACAACTCAACAGTCCTTGAGAAGGGGGGAAAAAGTTAGAAGGGAACATCCAGGGCTCAGGAAGAGATGGAAAGTAGCAGGGAAAAAGGGCAGAAAAAAGGGGTCGGGGTAAAAAAGGGAGCAGGGGGAAAAAAGGGACGGTGGAAAGGGTCAGGCAGCTGATTTAACACCGGACTTGACTGGGGGGAGGCAAGCCCTGGTTTAATACCAGCATTAACTGTTTCAGTACTGGAACTAACCAGAGGTGTGAGCCCCGGTTTAACAGCTACACTAACCAGTTTCATACCAGAACTAACCAGGGTGAAGCTCCTCCRGCCAAGCCTTCACCTCCCTCCCAAAACCACCTTGAAGCAGCAAGGAAAGAGCTCCTGCCGATATCAGGGTGTCCTGCACTGCCCATTCTGGGGAGATAACCGGTGTTTGAGAGAGGAACAGCCTGGAAATCCCGACGCAAATCCCACAGGAACCGCCCACACCCTCGCGAGCAGCACTCACGCGTTGCAGTATGGCTTCTTCTCGTAGCCCTTGTAGTTCTTCATGTTCAGGGTCATTTTGCACGTCTCGCAGTGGAAACACGATTTGTGCCAGAACTGAAACGCAAACCAGTACCCATCAGCAACAGGGATGCCAGAAACAGCCCCCATCCTGCTGGAATCCCAAAATTCCCACCTGGGATGGCAGTGGTGGCACCTGTGACCCTGGAAAAACCTGATTTTTTTTTTATTTTAATTTTTAAAATATATTTTTATTACTTTTATATATTTTTTATTTTGTTTTTTTCATGTATAAAATTTTTATCTAATACTAAAGCCTGACTAATTCAGGATAAAATTCAACCTCTCCCAATCTTCCCAAGGCATTTATTCCAGCAGGGGAGAGATCCTGCTCCCACAACTCCAAGAATTCGTGGATGGGAGAATCCTTCTCCAAGTGACCTCTCAGCACAGGGAACTGCTATGTTTTGAGGCTTCAAAGTCAGTGCTTTGGGGTTTTTTTGGGGCCGTTTGCCCAGTGCCAGCCAGAAAAACAGGTGAGGTGAGGCTGCCTTGGCCCAGGAGGAAAACGTTTTTCCTGGAAAGCAAACACAGACCCAAGAGTGAAGGCACAGACCCAAAAATCCAGACTGCGACTCCACAGCTTAGGCTGTGACACCCTGCAAACCCTAAAAGAAGCGTTTCAGGGCTCATATTTAGGGCTCTCTGAAAGGAATTATTCCCACTTGGYACTGAGCCAGCGCCAGGTGGGAAAGAGCCTGGGAAGAGCAGTTTAGAGCTGCTCCTGAGTAATTCCAGGTTGGATTTGATGATCTGGGAGGACTTTTCCAGCCAAAATGATCCTGATTTTGTGATTTTGAGGCCCTTCAGCCCTGCGTGGTCCAAGTTAAATGTCCTGCCGGTCTCCCAGATTCCCGACTCTGTGTTGCCATGAGAATCTGAGGGGTCTGGTGGGAATTCCCAGGGCCCAGAGCAGAATCCTGGAATTTCCTCCTGGGCAGGAACACAGGGGAAGCCCAGTGGGGACAGCACCTTCCGGTCAGTCAGTCCTGCCCTGGGGTGGCTCCTYCTCCATCACCCCACCCCCAGCTCCCAAAATCCGGGAAAACTCTGCCCATAGCCCAATTAGCAGCTCCCAGCACTAATTAGGGGACAGACACAGGCGACACCCATACTTTTAACCCTCCACCAGCAAACCCTCCCGCGTTCCAATTCCCCACTCCGGGACCAACGGGAATCCCCGTTCCCGCCGGGATCCGAGCACTGGGGCCACCTGCCCGGGGTGCCACACCCCGTGCACAAATACCACCGCGCTCCGGGGACCTGACTCAGCCCGGGAGGAAAACTTTTTCCTCTTCTGAGCAAGGAAATCGTTTCTGCTCCTCCCCTCTGGTCATACGAGCTCCTCCCACGCTCGAAGCCAACAGGGTTTTGCTCCTCCAGCCCTTTCCCGAGGGGTTTTCCCCTTTCCCAGCTTTTGGGCCGCTGAAGGATGGATTAACATCTGGATCCCAAGCTTTTCGGGTTTGTTGGAAGTCGTAGCCTGGTTCCTTTGGGGTATTAACAGCCCTTTCCAACAGCAAGGCCAGCACCCATCTGCAGGGATGGACTGACAGCCAGCCCCATTCCAGAGCCTTCTCCTCATGGAATTCCCAGCTCCCAGGTGGATCCCTTTCCATGACGATGCTCCCAGGCAGGCTCTGCTCCTATMCAGGAGCATTCCCGGTCCATTCCTGCCCCAGTTCCCTTTAGGAATTGCTCAGCAGTGAGCTGGGCTGCCCATGGAGTGTTTTCTCAATCCTCAAGCCTTGCTGCCACCATGCTCTGTGTCACAGCGACAGAATTTGGGCTGGATCCACCAAATCTAAGGCAGTGCCGGGAGGAGCTGGAGCATGGCTGGACACAGGGGACCAGCAGTTATTTTGGTTCCCAGGAACGCTCTGCTCGCCACAGAGAAAGAGGACAAGCTCCACACGGGGTTTTAGAGGAGCACAAGTGCCCTGTGCTTCCCAATTTGCTTCCCAATTCTGAGCTTGGAGCKCCCCAAAGGCCTGGAGGTGATCCCGGGTGCTCCCAGATCCCGGCAGGCTGGCATAGGGTGGCCATCCTGGAAAACTGTTCTGGGAGCGATGGACCCCCTGGAGCAACCTCGCCCTCCCAGCAGAGCCAGGGACGGAGCTCAGAGCAACAGGGGTGGCATCAATTTATGGGATGGGGAAGGACACTGAAGACGATCCAGTCCTTTTGGGGACACCTCCCACTGTCTCAGGGTGCTCCAAGCCCCATCCAGGCTGGCGTAGGACAATTCCAGGGATGGGACAGCCACAGCTTCTCTGGACCCACCAGGCAAAGCCGTCGCCCCCATCTGGAGTAAATCCTGCATCTAGGGGTAACCCTGCCCCCGGGGCAAACCCCAAACCTGGGGCAAACCCCAAACCTGGAGCCAACTCCACTGGAGACCCTGGGATTAGGAGACAGCACCAGGAGGGACCCCTGGCCTAGAGCCAAAGCCCTGGTGAGGCTCAGGGAGAGCCCAGCCCAGCCCTCCCTGCATGGGCTCCGCAGCTGCCCCGGCGTCACTTCCCCAGCGGAAACCAGAGCTGGCAGCAGCACCTTCCCCATGGGGGCAGGGACAGCGATGTCCCCAAAGCCACTCAAAGCCAGCCAGGGCAGGCCAAGGAGCAGAGACAGCAACGTGACCCAGAGACCCCAGTGCCACCCGGGACAGGGCCAGGGACAGCAACGTCCCCAGAGCTACCCGGGGCAGGGACAGATCAGGGCTGTGGGCAGGCAGTCACACTCCTCTGCTGCTGCTCCTGGTGAAAAAACCGAGTTTTCTGTAAATCAATCTGTCCCCGTTCCAGGACAAAGCAGGCCCTTCCCAGGCACCCAAGCTGTGGCTGTCCCTTCCYRGCRCAGCTCCCGCACACACAACCTGGCCGCCCTTCGGACCCGGCTCCACAAAGAGCAGGGACCGAGGCGCTCCAAGGGCCTGCCCGTGCTTTTATGGGAAGTGGGTCAGCTCTCTGGCAAATCCTGGGAAAAGGGGAGCCGGAGGTGTTCTGGGGTGGGGTGAACCATGCCACGAGCTGACCGTAACACAGTTTTTAGGAAGAGGAAGTGGGTGAGGAACCCGAGGACAAGATGGTGACTGCAGGTTCCAGCTGCTTCCCAACAGCTGGAATTCACTGTCTTCTGCCTGATTCCCAACAGCCAGAATCCACCATCACCTGGTACTCATGGACACACAGAGCCTGGGCAGGAGGGAGCCATGAGTCACCCCTCCTTCCCTGCCAATGATCCACATTCCTGGGATTTCCTCTTCCCTCCCGACTATCCTCAATCCTGACACTCCCCTTCCCTTCCTATTACCCCCAATCCCAAACCCTCTTTCCCATCCTATTATCCCCAATCCCAGTACCTCTTTTCCCTTCCTATTATTCCCAAACCTAGCACCCCCTTTCCTATTATCCACAATCTCAAAGCCCCCCTCTTCTGCCCATTATCCATAATCCCTTTTCCCTTCCTATTCTCCTCAATCCCGACATCCAGCAGCTCCCGAGCCCACAGCCACTTGCTGCCCCCAAATCCCAGGACTCTGGGGTGACAGTTGGGCTCTGAGCCATTCCCRGCCTCAGGAAGAAGCATCATCCCTTAAAAATGCAAGCAAAAGGGTCTGTCGGAGCTCAGGAATGCCGCTGGAGAGCGGAGTGTCCTTCCAGTTACTTTTTTTAGTCCCTAAACTGGTTGTCCCAAAAGCCTGGGAGAGAAGGGGGAGGAGAATAGCCTCAGCTTTCCGGGAATAAAGAAAATCCCATGGGAATAGCATGGGAATGGAGACGCGGCACTACCTTCCCCAGGTTCCACCACGGCATTAGGGTTGAGGGGAAAATACTCCCAAAAAAGGGATGCTCCAGGTTACAGGAGGCAGCCCCGGGGCACGGGGACAGGATTTTGGAACAGGGTGCAAGATCTGACACCAAAAAAAGAAAAAAAAAAAAAGAAAAAAAAAGGGGGAAAAAGCTGGATAATGGAAACCAGATGATGTTCCCGGGAAAGCGTTAACTATTGCTTTCCTTGGGCCTCCACGCGGATGTGCGGCCTTCCAGTTGGAAATATTAAAATAAATACAAATACTTAATACCGGAGGAAAAGCTAGGGACGCTGCCGGAGACCCCCGCGCAAAGGGGCTCCATTCTTGTCCCCTCCGGGGTGACATCTGTGCGGGACCCTCGGGACAATGGGGTCTCGTAGGACCCCCCGGACACGGGTGGGAAAGATGGAGAAATCTCCGGGAAAAGTGGGTTGGGAGTGGGAAGTGTGGAACAGAGATCCCTGGGAAGTGGGGGGCAYCACATTCCCTGGAATCCCCCCAGGGCTGGGAGGAGCGCGGGGGACCCACGGGACAATGGGGTTCCCACTGCAAGGGGACCCCAAGGATTCAGCGCGAAAACCTCTCCGAGAAAAAGGGGTTTCGAGTGGGAAGCGCAGAGAAATTCCCAGGAAAAGGGCGGGGGGAAAGGCGCGTCCACAAGGAAGTGCCACTCGCGAAGGGCGAGAAGAGCGGAGGAGATCCCCCAAGACAACGGGATCCCGTGAAAATACCCCCGGGAATGAGGGGGGGAGGGGGGGGAGAGTGAAACCATCCCATCCAGCGGCGATCCTACAGGAAAAATCCCAAATCCTTGTCCCGCTACCCACGTGCGACCCTCCCAAACTCACCTTATCCAAGCAGTTCACCTTCTCCGTGGGATATACGATCTTCCCGCAGCGCGCACAGTTGGGATTCATGGCTGAAAACTCGCGCGGAGGAAGGGGGGGGGAGGAAAAAAAAACACTCCCACCCTCCTACTCCTCCGCCGCGACTGCTGCTTCCTCTTCTTCCTCTGAGCCGCCGCCCGCGATGTCGCGACTTTAAATAGTCGGGAAGGGGGAGGTGACGGTGGGAAAAAGGAAAGTGGGAAGGACCACGGGAGCAGGGCGTGCACCAACGCCTGCGCGCACACACGTAATACGCATGCAAACCGGGTGCGCCCACCCCGGAACGCGGGGCGGAGCTGAAACACCCCTAAAAAGGGCTTAAAACACAAAAAGAAAGAACACAAAAAAATTTACGTTGAGAGCACAATGAGATTCGAACCAGGAACGTTCAGGTCGCCAGAGCTCGTAGTAGGGACCCCCAGCAAACGATGCGGCCCGATGGGGGTATAGCTCAGTGGTAGAGCATTTGACTGCAGATCAAGAGGTCCCTGGTTCAAATCCGGGTGCCCCCTCTTTTTAAACTTTTTACCCATTTTTTTCGGKTTTTTTTGTCGATATTCCCGAAGGGGGATGAGGCGGCAAGGTCTCACTTGCACGTACGCGTGGTTGCCCTTCCACGCACGGACGCCRAACAGGGACCGCGCAAGCGTGGAGTGAGCGGGAACTGATACCCAGGGAGGGAACTAATGCCCGGGGAGGACTTCGAGCAAGTGGGGGTATAGCTCAGTGGCAGAGCATTTGACTGCAGATCAAGAGGTCCCCGGTTCAAATCCGGGTGCCCCCTARTTTTGCTGCTCTTTATTTCCTTTCCCTTTTGTTAAAGTCTTCTTGCCCTCGTTTCTCTTTCCGTCACCGCCGCCCTCCCGCCCGGTGCTCCCGGCGCTCCCGGCGCTCCCGGGTGTTCCCGGTACCGGTGAGGGTGCCGCGTTTCCCGCCGCGGCTAGGGGGAGCCGCGCGCTCCGAGGCGGGGCGGGMGCGTCACGTGACGTCCACCGCCTCTTCCGGCGCCAAGATGTCGAAGCGAGGTGAGGCGGGCTTTCTTCTTCGCAACCATCTGGCTCCATCCGCCGCCATCCGGYGCTCCCGTGGCCGCTCCGGCGGAGCGGAGACCCGGGGAGAGGCGCCTGAGCCCGGGAGAGAGCGGATGTCGGGGGTGAWGTCGCCGCCGCCCTCCCCGAGAGGCTCAGGCCCGGGGCCGCGGGGCGGGCTCCGCGCTGGCCGCGGCCGCTTCGTGAGGCAGTACTGCGGTCTTAACGTTCTTCTCGACCCGCAGGACGCGGAGGTTCGTCCGGGGCCAAGTTCCGCATCTCCCTGGGACTCCCGGTGGGGGCTGTGATCAATTGCGCCGATAACACTGGTGAGTGCGAGGCTGGGATCGGGGGGGCAGCGGGAAGGAGCCCTCTGGGAACCCCTCGGGAAAGGATCCCGGAGTAACGCAGAGGGCGAAGAGTTAAATCCCAACCCCCCGGATTTCCTTCTGGAAACGCTCGCCGGGCCTGTGGCAGTGGCAGCGCTGTTGGGTGTCCCTGCAGCGGGATACGGGACTCTGTCCGCGGCTATTCCGGAATTACRCCGACGCCACTCTCCGCAGGGGCCAAGAATCTCTACATCATCTCCGTGAAGGGCATCAAGGGCCGACTGAACCGGCTGCCTGCGGCCGGCGTGGGGGACATGGTGATGGCCACGGTGAAGAAGGGCAAGCCGGAGCTGAGGAAGAAGGGTGAGTAGCGCCATTCCTCTCCTGAAATGTGGTGGAAATCGGGCACGGAGTCCCTGCAGATTCGCCTCCACCCCCCTTCTGTAAAGCACTCGTTGGGTCCGTGCCGTGGCTCAGGGAGTTGTCGTGGAAGGGCAGAGCAAAGRCACCGCTTTTGGGTGAAGTGGCAGCTCCTGGTGCTGTTGATTTCAATCAGTGGTGGGACATCGGGGCTGGYGATCTGTGACTGGGTCGGGTGGGAAGTGATCTTAAATCCCATCCAATTCCACCCTCTGGCATGAGTTTGCTCCTGGTCCAGAGGAATTTTTGCTGAATATTGTTTGTGAATTGATAATTTAATTCAAAATAAAGGTGGAAAAGTGGGAAAACCTTGGATTTTCCAAGTGTGGGTGCTGCTGCAGGTGTTTCATGGTAGTTTCAAGGGGACTCTTGACTACAAACTAACTTTCCCTGGTGAAACACCACCAATATGAGGCGCAAAACAAAAAAAAAAAACACCCCAAATCTGTGTCCTGGATTTGATGCTGTACTTCCTGTGGGATCTCTCTGAGAATGTATGTTTATCCTGAAGCATGTGACACTTTCTCTTCCCAGTGCACCCGGCGGTGGTGATCCGGCAGCGGAAATCCTACAGGAGAAAAGATGGGGTGTTCCTGTACTTTGAGGACAATGCAGGGGTGATTGTAAATAACAAAGGAGAAATGAAAGGTGAGGATGGGAATTGTGTGAGGGTGGGAATTGTGTTCCACTGGGAACACCAAAGGTTGGCAGTGCCACAGGGCTGAGCAAATCTCAGGCAAAGGATCCAGAGTGGGATTTTGAGTGGGAAATGCTGCTCTGATCCGTCTGTGACCTCTAAATCACCAAATTCCAGGATGCTTTGGGCTGGAYGGGAGCTTGAAGCTCATCTCATCCCACCCCTGCCATGGGCAGGGATACTTCCCACTATCCCAGACTGCTCCAAGCTGCCTCCAGCCTRGCCTGGAACACTTCAGGGATCCAGGGGCAGCCACAGTTTCCCTGGAAAACCCATTCCAGCCTCCCAGGGAAAAACTAACACTGTGGTGTTGTCCCTGTTTTCCAGGCTCAGCCATCACAGGCCCCGTGGCCAAGGAATGTGCGGATCTATGGCCCAGGATCGCCTCCAACGCCGGGAGCATTGCCTGACCCTAATCCTGGGCCTAGCCGCGGACACAAAATAAAAGTCATTGTACCAAGCCTGTGGTGTTTTTCTTCCAAATAGGAGCAGGATTGTGGTGGGAAGCCTTTTCATGGAGCTCTGTGGGTGCTCCAGCAGGAAAATGGGATTAGAGAATTTTCCAAGCCTCCTTTTCAGGCAGGTTCATGAAAAATACCTGAAAGGGRATTGCCCTGGAATGGCCCAAATTTTAGTGATCCTGAATTGATCTGTTGTCTCATGGCAGCTCAGAGGGGTCTGTGGCAGCTCTGCCTTTGTGCCAGACCTCCCTGAATTGCGGAATTCCTGGAATTTTCTTCTGGAATGGGCAGTTTGAGTGCTATGGGGTAATTTTAACTATTTGGGGTAAAATAGTGACTGAAGCTGAGCTGAGCCTCAAGCTACAGAACTTGTGCTGGGCAGTGGGATCTGGGAAATGTACCTTGGCTCTTGCTGGTACATGGGGAGGCCAATGCTGTCACTGGTGGAAATGTTCTCCTTTCCTTCATGCACATTTGGGGCATTTTAGGGGGAATGAGGTGGGAATTCATTACCAGGATCATGGGGAAAGCCCTGGGGTGGGGTTTGGAGMAGAGGGAGGGCAGTGAGGGAGGCCTGGATGTGCCAGGTGGGGCTGGGAGCAGCTGGAATGTGGCCACCTGGTCCTAGAATGTGTCAGAGCCATGTCAGTGGTGACAAAAAGCTTCACCTGGCCACCACATTCATGTGGGGGCATAACTCATGGGGAGAGCRTTTGACTGTAGGTCAAGAGGTTCCTGGTTCAACTCCAGGTGCACCTTCTTTTGCTGGAATTTTGGGGGTTTGGTCAACGGAATGTCATCTCAGCCTCTTCTGCTAATTCTTTTCTGTTGCAGAGATGAAGGCAAGGGGAAAATGTCAGAGACTGCACGGCAGTTCAGAGCGCTCAGGGAATGGGGAGGGGAGGAGGGAAAGGGGAAAGGAAAGGGAAGGGAAGGGAAGGAAAGGAAAGGAAAGGAAAGGAAAGGAAAGGAAAGGAAAGGAAAGGAAAGGAAAGGAAAGGAAAGGAAAGGAAAGGAAAGGAAAGGAAAGGA